TAGCATAAATAAAATTACATGTTATCCTCACAACCCCCTATGAAAAATATTAGGATAAGGTCTATGACATACTCAAAACCACATGGTGAGCTCCTTGACTACATAAATATTTGAACTTGGGTTCCCCAGGGTCCAACACTTTATGTACTGAACTACACTGACACTCTGCTGAGACAAGTATCAACAAGTTAAGAAGCCAAATTAACTTTTCCATTCTTTCAACACAAAACATCACTGAATAGGGGGAAAGAGAAGGGCAGAAAAAAGGAGAGAAACGTAACAGAATGTTCTAAAGGAGCCTACTCTTGACCCAGGAGATCACAATAATTATTGACCAGTCTCGCATGTTCTATTCTTGAACAAGGTGACTAAACAGATGGTGGCTGGACAACCTCAAACCTTCCTGGATGAGGCAAACTGTTTAGATCCATTCCAATCTGTTTTCGGACTTGGTTATGGGACTGAAACAGCCTTGGTAGCCCTAGTGGATGTCTTGCACCAGGAGATGGATAGAGGGAGGGCAACTCTGTCAATGGGACTGAAACAGCCTTAGTTGCCCTAGTGGATGTCTTGCACCAGGAGATGGACAGAAGGAGTGTCACTCTGTTGATTCTTCTGGACTTCTCAGTGACTTTTGATACCATCAATTGTAGTATCCTTCTGGTCTGCCTACCTGGATTGGTAGGCACCATTCTGTGATGGTTCTGGACCTACCTGGAGGGTAGGTTTCTGAAGGTGGTGCTGGGGATGGCAGTTCAGCATCTTGGCCTTTGGCCTCTGGGGTTCCACATGGTTCCATCTTGTCCACTATGCTCTTTATCATCTACATGAAACCACTGGGTGAGGTCATCTGGAGATTTGGGCTGGGTTGTCACCAATATGTAGATGATACTCAGCTCTATCTCGCACTTTCAGCTGATCCCAAGGAGGCTGAAGAAACCCTGGAGGCAGTTTTTGAGTGGATGCGGGCTAACTGAGGCTTAATCCAGACAAGATGGAAGTGCTACTTGTGGGTGGAAGGTCTGACCCAGGGTTTAAGGTGTGACCCGTTCTGGATGGGGCTGAACTCCCCTTGAAGGAATAGGACCATAGTCTGGGGGTACTCTTGGATCCGGGCCTACTGCTGAATAGTTGTAGCCATGTGTGCTTCATGTCAACTTTGACTCATTAGCCAGCTGCAGCCTTTGCTGGACAGAAGAGAGATCTGGTCAATGTGGTGCATGCTCTGGTTACACATAGATTGAATTGCTGCAATGTGGTCTGTGTGGGGCTGCCCTTGTAAAGTGTTCAAAAATTTCAAGCAGTACAGAATGCTGCAGCCAAGATGTTGACTGCAGTGGGTCACTGAGACCATTATCATTCTAGACTTGGCCCACCTACATTGGCTTTCAAATTATTTCCAGGAACAATTCGAGGTACTGCTCTTGACCTTTAAAGCCCTATATGGTTTGAGACCCACATACCCTTATGAACCTGCCCAACTGTTATGGTCATCTTCAAAGGCCCTGCTTCAGGTGCCCCCACCTTCTAAGATTAGATAGGTAACAACCTGGGAGAGGGTCTTCTCAGTCATGGTACCAAAGCTCTGGAACTCTCTCCCCAGGAAGATTCTTCTTCTTAATTACTGTTTCCACAACAAAAAGGAAAGCCTAAGATTTGCTATCATAATTACAAAATGATTTTACTATAGCTGCCAAAAATTTACCTACACACAAAGTTTATCTTCATCTCTTAGTAACCAAGAAGATTCGGCATCTAAAGAGACAGAATCCTGCTTAAGCAAAGGGAAAATCAATTCAGCTCTCAAATTTGAAAATTCAGGGCAATCCAAAAGAATTTGATCTATAGTCATTTCAGTTAGTACCACATCCACAGAATCTATTAAGAGTATGGAATACTATTAAATCTTCTTAACACTGCTGCAGATGGCAAGGTGTTTAAATGCACGTGCATATGTGCCCTTCTATACTTTGGAAGAGATAATTAAAAAAGGTAGCTTGACATTTTTATTGGGGGAAGAATACCAACTAAAAAGGATGAATATACTGTAAGCACTCTGACCAGCATCTATATATCTAATTCCAACAGGGGGTGGGTTGTGCAGATACTTATTTCCGCCAACAGGGGGCTCACTCTCCCCCAACAACTTTACCTACATAGACAGTAGACTTCCTGTGTCTGCAGAAAAATCCAAGAAGTAAAAAAATCCCTTCAGGGAGGGTTGAATTTCCCCCAATACCTTTTGAAATGGCCTCTGCAGGGATCTAACTCCAGGCATCACCCCAGGGCTCAGCGGTGAGAGATTAGAACATTCGGGGGGGGGGGAGGCTTCTAACTGGCACTGTCAGTAAAAGGGTGGGGGGAAGGCCCTTTCCTGGCTTCTTTTGGCCTTGGTGGGAAGGAGCCTTGAGGCCTGACAAGGGTTGCCAGTGCCAGCCTGGGGAATCCCTAGAGTTTTTGAGGTGGACTGTAAGGAGGGCTGGGTTTGGGGAAGGGAGAGGCCTCAGCTGGGTATAATGCCTCCAAAGCAGCCATTTTCCCCAGGGAGACAGATCTCTGCTGTCTTGAGTTCAGTTGTAATTCGAGGGGGGGCCCTCCAGGCCCCACTTAGAGGTTGGCAACCCTAGGCCTGGCAGCAGTTTAGGGTCGCCAGGTCCCCCCCTGGCCACTGGCAGGGGATGGGGGGTAAGGTTGCCAGATCCAGGCTGGGAAACTCCTGGAGATTTGTGGGTGGAGCCTGGGGAGGACAGGGACCTCAGTGGGGTACAATGTCACAGAGTCCACCCTCCAAAGCATCCATTTTCTCCATGGGAAGTTATCTCTGTAGTCTGGAGATCAGCAGTAGTTCCAGGCATCCCCAGGTCCCACGTGGAGACTGGCATCCCTAGGCAGCACCCTCTGGGTGACGATACCACCTGATTTGCATGACTCAACTAGGCC